CTGCAGCTCGGGTCCTGACTCGAACTTGGAAGTACGAGCACATAAGTCCTGTGCTCAGGTCTCTGCACTGGCTTCCTGTGCCTCAGAGAATAGACTTTAAAGCAGCTCTGCTTGTGTACAAGTCTCTCCATGGCCGAGCACCAAAGTACATCTGTGACATGTTAGTGTCATATGAACCATCTCGCACTCTGAGGACCTCAGGGACTGGCCTCCTGCTGGTGCCCAGAGTCAGGACTAAACAAGGGGAGTCAGCGTTTCAGGTTCATGCAGCTAAAACCTGGAACAGTCTTCCTGAACATGTGAGACAGGCCTCTTCTGTGATGCTGTTTAAATCCAGGCTCAAAACATTTCTGTTTAACTGTGCATATAACTGAAACTTTCCAATTTATGTCTCTCTTTTTTAATTTTAATCTTCATGATTATTTATGTTCTGATTTGTTTTTATTATGATTTTAATGTATTTCTTATTCTGTAAAGCACTTTGAATTACTTTGTGTACGAATTGTGCTATACAAATAAACTTGCCTTGCCTTGTTGTAAAGCGCTTTGAGTGCCTCGAAGGTGGAAAAGCGCCATCAAAAAATGTGGCCATATATTTTAAATGGGGAAAAAGTCCTCTGAATGTTGTATACACGCTGTCAGTCAAAATTTTGGACTCACCTTCTTTGCCAAGTAAAAAAAAACTAAACAAAACAAAACTTTGAACTTTTCAGCAACTATTTATATGTCTCTGACTCTATGATGTAAGCCCCTGAATTAGGATTGCAGAGTGACTCACACATTGCCCACCTACAGGAGGATATTGATTCAAGTGAGGGTCCAGTCTCCTCTTCAGTCTGAAGCTGAAAGCACTGTGATGACAGACTTATTAGACCTCCTCCAGACAGTGCCTATAGTTCACTATAGGATTCTCCACTGTTTAATAAGTCATAGCAGACTCCTGCCCTAGTAATGGGATACTAGCCACATATGAAAATGATTTATGCATAAGGCTAAAGGTCTTTAACTGTGAATAATGCAGTATAATATTTATGACCATTGTAGCCCCAGCACAACATTAACCTAATCATAAAGAGACTTGTTTTCCTCCAAATGTTTTAAACATATTATCGCTTAAAGTTGTATTACCAGCAGCAAATATATTTATCATTTAGAGAGCAGACCAGACGTCATAACACAAGATGTACAAAAAAATTGCATGCTATGGGCTGGGTGTGTTTTATTTTTTGGTAATGAGACACAGTTTTCTGCAGTGGTACCTCCATCCATCCATCCATCCATTTTCTTCCGCTTATCCGGGGCTGGGTCGCGGGGGCAGCAGCCTAAGCAGGGACTCCCAGACTTCCTTCACCCCAGACACGTTTCCAGCTCCTCCGGGGGGACCCCGAGGCGTTCCCAGGCCAGCCGAGAGACATAGTCCCTCCAGCGTGTCCTGGGTCTTCCCCGGGGCCTCCTCCCGGTGGGACATGCCCGGAACACCTCCCAAGGGAGGCGTCCAGGAGGCATCTGGAACAGATGCCCGAGCCACCTCAACTGGCTCCTCTCGACGTGGAGGAGCAGCGGCTCTACTCCGAGCTCCTCCCGTGTGACTGAGCTCCTCACCCTATCTCTAAGGGAGCGCCCAGCCACCCTGTGGAGGAAACTCATTTCGAGCGCTTGTATCCGCGATCTCGTCCTTTCGGTCACTACCCAGAGCTCATGACCATAGGTGAGAGTAGGAACGAAGACTGACCGGTAAATCGAGAGCTTCGCCTTTCGACTCAGCTTCCTCTTCACCACAATGGTCCGATACAGCGACCGCATCACTGCCGAAGCTGCACTGATCACTCATGAACAAGACCCCGAGATACTTGAACTCCTCCACTTGAGGCAAAGACTCCCCACCCACCCGGAGAGGGCAAGCCACCTTTTTCCGGTCAAGAACCATGACCTCAGACTTAGGAGAGCTGATCTTCATCCCAGCCACTTCACACTCGGCTGCAAACCGCCCCAGTGCACATTGTAGGTCCTGGTTCGATGAAGTCAACAGAACAACATCGTCCGCAAACAGCAGAGATGAAATCCTGTGGTCCCCAAACCGGACCCCCTCCGGCCCCTGACTGCGCCTAGAAATTCTGTCCATGAATACAATGAACAGAACCGGTGACAAAGGGCAGCCCTGGCGGAGTCCAACATGCACCGAGAACAGGTCTGACTTACTGCCGGCAATGCGAACACAGCTCCTGCTCCGGTCATACAGGGACCAGACAGCCCTTAGCAAAGGGCCCCGGATCCCATACTCCCAGAGCACCCCCCACAGGACACCACGAGGGACACGGTCGAATGCCTTTTCCAGATCCACAAAACACAGTGGACTGGTTGGGCAAACTCCCATGAACCCTCGAGCACCCGATGGAGAGTGTAGAGCTGGTCCAGTGTTCCACGGCCAGGACGAAAACCACACTGCTCTTCCTGAATCCGAGGTTCGACTATTGGCCGGATTCTCCTCTCCAGTACCCTGGCATAGACCTTACCGGGAAGGCTGAGAAGTGTGATCCCCCTATAGTTGGAACACACCCTCCGGTCCCCCTTCTTATACAGAGGGACCACCACCCCGGTTTGCCAGTCCAGAGGTACTGTCCCCGACCGCCACACGATGTTGAAGAGGCATGTCAGCCAAGACAGCCCCACAACATCCAGAGACTTCAGGTACTCAGGACGGATCTCATCCAACCCCGGAGTTGCCACCAAGGAGCTTTCCAACCACCTCAGTGACCCTGGCCAGGGTGATGGACGAGTCCGCCTCCGAGTCCCCAGCCTCGGCCTCCTCCTCGGAAGACGTGACGGTGGGATTGAGGAGATCCTCAAAGTATTCCTTCCACCGCCGGACAACGTCCCCAGTCGAGGTCAGCAGCCCTCCCCCCGCACTGTAAACAGTGTTGGTGAAGAACTGCTTTCCCCTCCTGAGGCGCCGGACGGTTTGCCAGAATCTCTTTGAGGCCGTCCGATAGTCCTTCTCCATGGCCTCCCCGAACTCCTCCCAGCTCCGAGTTTTTGCCTCCGCGACCACACAGGCTGCAGCACGCTTGGCCCGCCGGTACCCGTCAGCTGCTTCAGGAGTCCCCTGAGCCAGCAAGGCCTGATAGGACTCCTTCTTCAGCTTGACAGCATCCCTTACTTCCAGTGTCCACCACCGGGTTCTGGGGTTGCCGCCGCGACAGGCACCACAGACCTTACGCCCACAGCTCCGAGCAGCCGCATTGACAATAGAGGCCGAGAATGAAGCCCACTCGGACTCCATATTTCTGGCCTCCCCCGGAATGGAAGGTGCGAGTTGAAAGTACCTCTGACAGAGGGGGCTCCGCCAGACGTTCCCAGCAGACCCTCACTACACGCTTGGGCCTGCCAGGTCTTTCCGGCTTCCTCCTCCGCCAGCGAACCCAACTCACGACCAGGTGGTGATCAGTTGACAGCTCAGCCCCTCTCTTCACCCGAGTGTCCAAGACACGCGGCCGGAGGTCAGATGACACGACTACAAAGTCGATCATCGACCTCCGGCCTAGGGTGTCCTGGTGCCACGTGCACTTATGGACACCCTTGTGCTCGAACATGGTGTTCGTTTGGACAAACTGTGACTAGCACAGAAGTCCAATAACAAAACACCACTCGGGTTCAGATCAGGGAGGCCGTTCCTCCCAATCACCCCTCTCCAAGTGTCACTGTCGTTGCCCACGTGGGCGTTGAAGTCCCCCAGGAGAACAACGGAGTCCCCGGTCGGTGCACTGTCTAGTACCCCTCCCAAGGACTCCAAGAAGGCCGGGTACTCAGCACTGCTGTTCGGCCCGTAGGCCGACACCACAGTGAGAGACCTGTCCCCGACCCGAAGGTGCAGGGACGCGACCCTCTCGTTCACCGGGGTGAACTCCAACACACAGCGGATGAGCTGTGGGGCAATGAGCAGGACCACACCAGCCCGCCGCCGCTCCCCGCGGCCAACGCCAGAGAAATGGAGAGTCCAGCCCCTCTCAAGGAGTTGGGTTCCAGAGCCCAAACTGTGCGTGGAGGTGAGACCTCCCGCTCAACCTCCCGCACAAGCTCAGGCTCCTTCCCCCCCAGCGAGGTGACATTCCATGTCCCCAGAGCTAGTCTCCATGTCCGGAGATCTGGTCGCCGAGGCCCCCGCCGTCGACTGCTGCCCAGATCTCTCTGCACCGGCCCCATATGGATCCTCCCGCGGGTGGTGGGCCCACGTGAGGACGGCTCCACGTCGCTCCTTCGGGCTGAGCCCGGCCGGGCCCCGTGGGGGGAGGCTCAGCCACCAGGCGCTCGCTGGCGAGCACGCACCCCAGGCCTGGCTCCAGGGTGAGGCCCCGGTGACGCCAATCCGGGCGACGTAACTGGCCTTGCTGGTGTACTCATCATATGGGGCTTCTGAACCGTTCTTCGTCTGGCCCGTCCCCCCGGACCTGTTTGCCTTGGGTGACCCTACCAGGGGCATGAAGCCCCCGACAACATAACTCCCGGGATCATTCGGGCACTCAAACCCCTCCACCACGATAAGGTGACGGTTCAAGGAGGGGAGTGGTACCTCAAAAAACTTTATTTGGAATTTGTTATTGATTAATCATCATGAGTCATCACAATTTCAAATGTATTTATTTATATTAAATTTGTGGCAACACTATAATCTTCTATGGTCTCTCTCTTCCAGGACCCACCAGGCATCAAATGTGTTATCAAAACAACCACTGGCACCAGTTTTCTACCAGAATCACAGTTATAAATATATTTAGCATTAAAAACAGTTAAAAGTGCTGCTAGTTGTAGGTCTTAGAATTAAAAATGGGAGATTAGATTGTAATATAAGATGTAATAAACTAGGCATTAGGCAAAACATTTAGGTAGTTAAGTAGGTAGTATCTTGTGCCTCCTCTTGTACTGTCCCTCTGTATGTTGTACTCAGTATCTTTATGGTGTTACAGGCATGTCACTATCACAGAGATGGGCGTGCAGGTGTGTGGCTTCAGTCTCTTCACTCTGCTTCAGCTGAAAGAGTTCAGAGCCATTCCCAGGAGCACACTGCATACACAGTAAGTCACAACTCATTTCACAACCTTCTCCAGTTCTTGTATTTTCCATGTTTGCTTTGAGCTTCCACTGTCTGCTCTGCTGCACCGGGGTCAAATGGAAACACTAAATATTCATGGGACAGGCTTTGCTCACCTGATGGTACAAATGTTTAGACTTAAAGGGAACATTTTATTGATCTAATGCAACATAAAGTAGGTTATAAAGGGAATGTTGTTGAATGCCTTTCATATATTCACAAAATGCTTGAATTCAATATTGTACAAAATAATATACACAGCAAATTTAAGAGTGTTAATTCAACTCATATATTGTTAATTTTAACACTTTTACCATGTCATATGGGGTCCACAATAAAATTTGTTAAAAACTACACTTCCAAAGTGTAGAAGGCTCAACACTGGTAAAGTGATGTAATGACACTCCTCATAGTTCAATTTGACACTGATTAAGATTAGATTTTTTTACACTAGTGAATAGTGAAAAACTAATAACTCTAAATTGCAGTTTTAACACTATGAAGTAGAAATAGTGTAGAGTGTTCTTCATGTTACACTATTCAACAGTAACTCTTTCTTCACTAAATACAGTATAAATGCTGTGGTCATTCTAGTTCATAATCTCAAATGTAATATAAAGAAAACCACCACAAAATTCCATTTCAACTTAACTTGTATTAAAACAATGCACATCATACAATCAACACAATTTAAACAAGTCATATGACACAATACTGTTTTTGCAAAATCCAACTGACAGCAGGAATTCTCTGTGCCCTCAACAGTTGGTCACAATGACTGTCATTTTTTCTTTTTTTGAAGTTGATTTTTCAATGCAAGCAGCCGATGGATGAATCAAGATCTTGTTTTGAATGGAATTCAGGCAAGATCATCTCCAAAAATGAGAGGAGCATGTCTAACTGTTTGAAACAAGATTTTCTCTCCATTATATAAACATAACAATGTTCATAAGAGAGGCAGTCCTGCTCATTATGAAACATTAACACTGCAGAAACTTTTTACCTCTAGAATCAGTCTTTCACTCTTGGGGTTTCTATTGACACACCCCACATCCATGTTGTAGACAGCTCTTTGAATACAGGTGTAAAGTTTGTGAGAGTCTGAGGAACAAGTGTCTTGAAGTGTTCACGAAATTCAGCCGAGTCAACAATGACATAAAAAACCTTTGTCCTTCCCTCTTCAGTCACAGATAGAAAGGCCGTCCAGGCTCAACCAGCAAGAAATGTGTCCATACCGATCGGTAAAATAAAATATAGAATAGAATAGAATAGAATAAATATAACATATTCAAGTAACCACCTTGCAAAACGGGCTATGCAATATTTAATGAGCCATGAATAAAAATTAAAAAGTAAATATATAGTAAATATATTCTGGTGGCACCATACTCAAGTAAATGTATTAGGTCACCTAATACATTTACTTGAGTCACTATTTACATACAGTACTTTCTTCCCACTGTGAAAACATGAGTACTATTTCATGTTTCATCCTCGCAACTGCATTAACTTTAAATGACAAATCAGATGTTTTGTCCAGTTACTTTTAACTTAAGTTACTTGAGGAGCTTTTTTCCCCAAATACTTTTACTCTTAGCTACTTAACACATTTTTTGGACTTCTACTTTTTAATTAGACTTGAGAAGTATTTTTGAAGTAACATTACTCTTAATTTAGTACAATTTGCTGCTATTTTACCCAATGTAGCCAACAGATTAATGACTAGCTCTCCCGCTGGAAACATTACAAAAGCCCAACACTTATGTAGTGTAATATTCAAAACAGACACTTTTGACGTTAACACTGTGAATCAACAAATACTCATTTTACTTTACAGCACTGTCATTGTTGAATTAACTCTTGACTGTGTTGAAACTTATATGGATTTTCTTCACTTTGCTCACAACAACACCAACACCGTGAATTTAACATTTTTTTATTTGCTGTGTATCAAAATGAAATATTGACAAAAAATTTTAACAACAGCTTATTTATTGTTAGGTTTATGAGAACGTCAGAATTTTAACTTAGAATTTCATAAACAAGCTGATTTTTTTAAAATCACTGACCTGCATCGCTGGAGATTTTACCTCCATCTTAAGAAATTGTATTGAAGATGTTTTAGCAATTTGGAGATGAAAGTTTATTTTAATCTTGTTTTGGGATGTGACAGTTTTGTCTGGTTTGAAGTGATTTTTCCGCTCCACTTTCAGCATTTAAATTAAAGCACAATGCATTTATTTGATGGTAAATCAGAATGCAGGGAAGACAGTCAGAGCCCTGGGATTTAGCACAGACAGGCTGCAGGCTGTGTTGGACCATCATCTACAGTGAGCAGTCAGCTAGTGTTAACATCTCCACCTGTTTTCCATTGCAAATATCAGCCTTACCTACTTTGATGCCTTTTTTTGGATAGTATTTTGGTCACCAGCTCTAGTCTTGGTTTAGTGTCATCTAAAAGTCCCAGTGAAATTACAGTGAAATCTGACATGCCAATCTGACGTGTGTATTGGAGCATAAACTGTTTTTGTCACCAACAGAACAAAAACATGTCATTGCTCTGAACTGATTTTTTTTAAAATGAATGACTCAAAACACCAGTGACCTTTAGTACGATGAGAAATGAGACACAGGTTTGAATGAAACTTGGCCCTGGACAGAGGCAGAGGCACAGATGGATGAATGAATGATTAAATGTTTGTTCATTTGTTCATCCATCTGTCGATCACACAATATCTTGCTTTGATTTCATCTCTAACACAATGAGTAATGATACATCCACCACCATGTGTTTGGAAATCCCTCCAACAATAAAAGGCTCTTACAGAACATTATTAACAGAATATTAGTGTGAATTCAGGTTCGCTTATCATCACTGATACACTTTTAAATCTGACAAGTCAACCATACTTGACTACCTTGATAAATTGCAAAGAAAAAGTGATGTCAACTCAAAATCCACAGTTAAACAGATGATAACTGTAAACAAAACGTGCATAAACTCTCACAAGGTATAAACTGAAGATGGGAGTTTTTCGTTTAGTAAGAAAATATCCAATGCACTGTTCCAGTTAGAACAGTGTATAGAGTAATCAGTGTATAGATATTTTTTTTTTTTTCTCTGAGTTGTGTTTTCTTATTGAATTGTATCCATTCTGAAAATTACTTCTTCAAATTATATTTTTTCAAATTATATGTATATATTTTTTTTACCATTGTGATGTTCAGTGAGTTTTAACAGTGCTTTAAGATTTTTCAAATGCTTTTTTTAAGATGGGGAAGCTCAATCAGTGATTCAAATACACCATCACAATGTCAGTGCGTAGGTGTAGTCATTACAGTTTAAGAAGAATCACTTATAGTTGTCTGCTTACTCAACTCTGCATTTCTGTTGTATATTTATGCCCAGGAAACCAAAAATATTATGAATAGTTTCAGTGTTTTTTCTGTTTGTGGAGATGCTGGGCTGTTTGTTACCTGGTCTCTGGAGAGCTAAGGGGAGAGAGGCCAGCCCCACTGAATCATCAGGTCTGTCAGTCACTGCAATGAGCTCGCAATCTCAGTCTGCCAACTATTATCAGTATGAATAAAACATGGGAGAGAGTTGATTATTAAAATGAGTATGTGTCTATTCACAGTCATTCCTCACCATTTTTCTCAGCTTCGTTTACTCTTCAGACTCTAAGCTTTTTACTAAGATCCAATTGAAAGAAAAAAATGCAGTTGTTTATGCAGTTTTTATATTGCATATAAAATCTTATATCAGTCATGTTTGTTTGCGATGTTCAATATTATGACACAAATTATGATGTGTACACGGTCACTAGACTGTATTTTTCACGTTCCCGAAAAAACGAGTGACAGCAGGCCCATTAAAGTGACAAAGATGATCATGCAATCACAAAATCAAATAAAAACATCCAAAATGAAAACAAAAAACAGAACAAAACAAAAAACCCCAAAAAAGCATTATTTTATTTTTGTCTACATTTTGACTTGTGCTAGTCCCAAGACTGGATAAATAGAGAACAAGGAAAAATTTGCAATCAAAAGAAATCTTATTGTAATCTTGTTCTCTCTTTCTCTCTCACACTAAAGCTTCACCATGCCTGCCATTGTGAACCTTCTCTTCAACGTTGTCTCCACCAACACGACCATCTCATTCCACGTGGTTCTGCCCACTGTGAGCCTAGTGTCCCTGTTGGCGGGTGTGGGGGGACACCTGTTGCTGTGGCTGGTGCTGTTGAGGAACCAGCGCAGTCGTTCTAAGCCCAGTTCAGTTCTGTTACTGAACCTGAGCCTGGCTGATCTGGGCGCGCTGCTCACCCTGCCTTGTGTGCTGCTCAGTGCCAGTTTTCAGGACTGGCAGCTAGGGGGTGGTACTTGTGTGCTCCTGGGCTTCATGACCTCAGTGACTGTTGGGGTGGAGATCTTCAGTCTGGCTGTGCTGTCCGTGCTGCGCTACAGGATTGTGGCGCCACTGACCAGTACACCTGCCAGCCTTGTGCAAGTGTAAGTTATGGGTCTTGAGTTCTTTAGCTTTATTTGTATCATTCACTACACATAAATTGATTTTGTTTGTGCAATTGTGTGTTTTGTCATTGAAAATATTTAAAGGTGCAATGTGTAACCCATCTGTTAGAGGGTCTGTCACCTGCTTGGAGATGTTATTGCTTTGCCAGGAATGTTGCACACTATGGCATTTAACTTATCTTTCTTACATTTATTCAATTACAAGTGTTTTTACTGGCTTTTTATTTACCTTAAAAACATTTATTCTCATTGTAAACTGGCTCACCTCTCCCCTGATCTGATCTGTAACTGCTTCATGAAGCTAGTTAAGTTCAATGCCATTCTACATTCTACGCAAAACATGCCCCATGGAGACAAGAAGGTGATGATGGCTCACAGCAAAATGATATCTGAATTGAGTTCTGTACATCATATCAATCTGGCTGTCTCTCAATGAAAGCAATTGGAAAACTTTACCTTCTGCATGTTTATCACAAACAAACAACATAAACAAACTAATCAGTATTGATGCTAAAACAGACTAAAATACGTCGGCAATATGTCGGCATTGCTATGTTTGGTTGGTTTGGGCACTTTGCCTTTGTCCTCTACACAAATCTCAATACTGCTCTGTGATTGGTCCAACCGCCCAATTAACCTTACAGCAGGCACACACCAAGGTGGATTCTAGTGATTTTGTGAACTGAGAAATATCGCAAGAATCCATCTTGCTGTGCAAAGTTACAGGTGACATAAGTGACACAGTGCACCTTTAAGGCACAGGACAGCTGCTGACTGGGTTGGTCTGCCACAGAGCAACTTTAGCAATGCTACTGGACTACTCAAAAACTTGGATATCTTTTTACTTTTGCATGGTTTTCTTGTGTCTTTTTGGACTTCCTGTGAAAAAATATGATCACTATAACCTAATCTTGTTTCCTTTCTAACAGACTGTGTGCTGTGGTTGCCATTTGGCTGATCTCCATCACCATGGCACTGCCCAAAGTCACCTACATCAACTTTAAGGGCGGTTGCACGTGGTCAGTTGGTCGAGACGAGTGGCTGTTCTTCCTGGTTCCTGCCTTTCTGGTGTACTACGTGGCTCCTCTACTCTGCATCACCATTAACTGTGGGCTCATCATCTCCCAGCTCCACCGCTGCCGGGGTCCCATAGCTTCTCACCGACGCAACAAAAAAGCTACTGCATTGCTAATTAGCTCGACACTAGTTTTTGCAGTTAGCTGGTTGCCTTATTATTCACTCGAGTTTGTTAATGTACTATCACCATATATTATCTCTGAGGGATCTCCTGTTAGTTTACCGGGACTTTTCACTACTACTTCTAGCCCGCCAAAAGTCAAAGCAAGAGTTTCTATACTTTGGGAAGTAGCATCTCTCACTGCTATTCTGTTAGTTTGCTTGGCGCCATGTTGGAATCCTCCGCTCTATTTCCTGTTGTCAAGACCAGCTGTACGCCAACTCCAAGCGCTCCTGCCAACCTTTCTTACCAAGCATTTTAAGAAACCGGTGCAGCACTGGCGTATAGCTCCAGCTCCTCCCCCACATGAGCCACGCCCCCTGCCCACGACCCATTCAATGCCACAGCAAGCGCTCACACATCTGACTCAGTAAAGTGCCCACACGGTAAAACACTTTGTAAAAGAGACATCCGCTCTCCTTTCAAATATGACTCACCAAATCTTGATCTGCAGTGCCATGCAAATGTCTTAGAGAAGTGGGAAGATGCAGTTTAATAGGCGTGTTTTCTTGGTTAAATACATACTTCAAAAATCCTTGTTTTAGTGAAGCGTATGAAGCAGGTTAATATTAGCTACCGAACACAAAATCATTATGCTGTTTATGGATGCAGGGGTCATTCTGCGCCACTGTCCTATCCAGAACATTGAGGATAAATGCCTTGGTGGAGGTCTATATTTCCCAGGAGCTCTGTAAGGTTCTGTGCTTTGATATACTCTGCTTATATTATATATAGATTTTCAGTTGTTTTTTGCCTAATCGAATAATTGAATCTTTCTCCATTTATTTAAATGTGGCCTTGTTTGTGTGACTTCTTGTGTCTGAATTTCATCTTTGTGTAAACAAATAACTTGGTTTTCTCTTTTTAATAGTGGGCTTGCTGGATGTTTAATGCAGGGCACAGTTAGTTGTTTGCTGAGATGGTTCTGTGGTCATAACTACATCCTCTGCTCCTGGCAACACAATATAACTCTCATTCACATACTGTATAATAGAGAATCACATAAACAAAATACTCAACATAGCAATAAAACTCAAGCCAATACCTCAGTTACCATGTAGTTATATAACACAAACGTTTACAGGAAAATGGGATATCAAAGTATATATATTTATTCAAAAATCCAGGTCAGTGAACATAAAAACTCCCAGATGGGACTAACCCTGTGATCTGGTTAGCCCTTTTGGAGACAGAGAAGGTCGTGGTGACAGAAATAACCCATCAGCGCAAACATAAATCAAAGTCTCGAAGGAGCTTTTAAACTGCCCTTCCCCATCTGCAATAAAGCAGGCCTGATTAAGCACCCAATACTTTACACTGTACTTCCAGACCACCAATATACATCTAACATTAGCTGTGCATCTCTGTAACCTCATTACAAAGCCACAACCATATAACATGGCCACATTCCAGGAAGGTTCCTGAAGTTTGCTGTGATGGTGTCATACGATCTGTGTATTCATTTACCAAATAAGAGGGCTTGGTTTTAAATGTGCACTGTGTGGATTTTCTTGCCTGGCATCCAGAATACACACTTCTTCAATACTTCACGAAGATGTGTCTGGTGAATCTCACGCATGGTCAGTCTGTATCAAAACAAATATTGCTGCACAAGGGAGAAAAAGATAGGAAAAAAATATCACAAGGAAGGACACTGTAAAATAAATGAGCAAAGCATTAAAGTTTGTTCATCTGTAATTTTGTTTGTAAATGATGTGTGCCCTTTTGTTTCACATGCATCATTGAAACGCCACATTTTAATAAAAGTGCTCTCTGTTAAGCTGAGACATTGATTCAACTGAGTTTTACGTAGGCATCAAACTACATTTAATGAATTATATTCCTGAATTAAGTACAATTACCAAGTTTTTAGACTAACTTGAATTAATGAAAAATCTGGTGCATCATATTGAGGTGGCAGGTTTATCTAAGGATGAAGAACTAAAACAATAGTCTTGGTATGTTCTCATATCACCTAAATCGGGCTCTTCTAAATCTGACTAAAGCTCTTGGCCGACATCAAATTACAATGACATGTGTGTCCTTGTGTGGAGAGGTTTCCTGACTTATGACATGCATTAAAACCTAGTGCCTTGCTTTTCTTTAGTACACAGGGATTTCAATACAATCACATCGGAAAAGAGTGGCATGGGACAATTTGGTTGTAACAAGTCAAGGCCATCCCTGACAGTGATTGAAGGAGTGTATGGGCTTCTCACAGTCGCCAAGGACCGGCAGCATAATAAACTTGGAACGAAGCTGTAATTGGATTTTTGTTGTCAGGCTGTAAACCGATCTGAAGCGTCGATTTAAATGTCTTTCCAAGTTTTGCATTATTTAAGTTGTGAAAGACAAGACCTATGTAGCATGAATTTGAATCTGACACAAAATACGACTGAAATTTCCTTAAATTTTCAGCTTTACGTGTTCGAAAGCTGTGTGACTTTGATTAATGTGCAATGGATTTCCTGACCTTGCTCCCGCTGTCTTATTGGTATCTATAAATCTTGCTTTGCTTACTCTGTGACCTCCATCCTAGCCTGCACCTCTGAGTGTTCTAATCACATTTGGAACAGTAGCCTTTATTAATTGGGGGCACCCTTTTAGTTATTTTTCTTGTTTCGTTCTCACCAATAGCATCTTGGTGCCTCGTTAGACCAGTTATCTTTGTCATCTGTCTGCTCTCTGATCCTTCTCTCACAACAGGACCATTACATCCTGATGAGACTTAATTAAGACTAGCCCTGTCTTAAAATACAAGGCGAGCACAGCGGCAAACCTATAGAGAGGTTTTTTCCCATTTGTACGCAGTGTGTCAGCTTTGTGCATGTGACAGACAGGGGACGGGTGCTGTGAGGCCATGATCTGGAGAGAGATTATAATGTACATACTGGTGGCAAGAAGGTTATTATAACAGATGGGTCTTTTTTTCCCTCAGATATAGGTGAGAGCTATTGATTTATTTGTGATGCAATATTTAACAGCCTTAAACGCTATAGCCCAGGGAAAGAGGGACAATTTGATAAAAGCAACACAGTGCAATGATGCGGAGCTATGGAGTAAAGTGTGATTTGATGAAAAAATATAGCAAATGTTTCGGGCTTCAGTCACATTTGAATTTCAGGATAAATAAAGCTCTTTGGGTGTATAAAAGGTAATGAAATTATTCATGAAATTAACTTTATTGATGCGGGTGAATGGAAAAAGCTGAATGCTTTTAAATGAAGAGAAACATCAGTTATTACCACAGCTGAGGTTGTGGTCACAACTCTGCGGTGTGGACTTGAAGGTATTACACAGCCAGACCGTGGAAGGATCGCACTGTGGAGCTGAACATAACAGTCAGGTCTAGTAACTGCACTGATTTCCCTGATGAGAATATGACTGCATGTGGCTCTTCCATGCTTTCCGTCCAAAAGTTTTGCCAATTCACTAAAATTAACAGGGGGTGGGGGGAATGACAGCTTGCTCTGCTCACTGCACCAGTTACACAGCTGAATATAAAGTACTAGATCAATACACGAACTTTGCAAGTCAGCATTGTTGTGGTACCTAGTTTGAAAATAAAAAGACTAAGAAACAAAAGTAAATAAAATGTATATGCAATTTATATTCTCTATAAGTCGTATAGTTACACATTTTTATTTTTATTTTTTAACAAATAGTTAAATGCTTAAACAAGATAGTTCCAGGTAAGGTGGGCGTCAAAAAACCTAGTTCAACCCAGTTTCTGCTCTTTGGCTGCCCCTAGTGGTTACACTGTGGCACAACATTTCAAAACACGGGTTCTGACAGATTCGGACGACGGTAGAATTCGGAGTATTTTCCAAAAAACGACCAGTAAGCCTTTAGTATTTCCCCTGGTGCAAACAATACACATCTTGGCTCTCCTTTGCCTATACTCTGCAAAAACACTGGTGGCTTCTTACTGAAGGGCGCACCCCCTCACGCACACGGCGATGGAGAGAGAGCACGAGAGGAAGAGAGAGAGGAGTGGGGAAAGGTGCAGGTGCTGAGTGGTGGAGGTGGGAACGAAACGCGCTGGCGACTCTATGTGGCCACTGGGACCTCCACAAGCGGACGGACACGCGGGGCAGGTGACGTGCCCATGGCTCTTTTCGCCCATCCAACCACAAGTCCATGCCATACTGAGACCACTCAGGTGTAGCATCCTCTTCAGCAGCCCTCCTATTACTACAACTACCTACTCTCATTGTCCATGTACTGCACCTCCCTTCGCTTAGCAGCTTCCTCCTCCTCTGCAGCGCCAAAAGCGGACTGTCTCTTGTAGCTACGGGAACATTGTTGTGAGCGATGCTGTGGAGAAAAACGTGCTCTTTGTTTATGAGGCGGCTTGTGTTGCTAGTGCCGTTGTAAATGTGCGCACAGCGGGGCTACAGCCAGCACAGATGACCTGAAGCAGGGAGGGAAAGGCGCTTCCAACTACAGCACTTGTTCCACAAAGAGAAAGACATATTTTCATCACCATGACTGACCAGGTAAGCAAAAACAAACATGTACGCTACCTTTATTTTACCATACACTCCTTTGGTCTCTCATTATTTGCATGACTTGCCTGTACATTTTAGTAATCAGTGTTATTCATGTACTATTTACCTTAGCTTGAAACTGGGTTGGGTCTTTATAGACAATAACTATGATACAAATACGAACATGTTTTCCTTTAGACAAAAAATAATTATAGTGTAGACCTCTACTAAGGCATTATGTTATCCCAAACTCAGACTAGATTCAAACTAATTTATTCTCTTTTGTAAAATAAAATAATTGTGGGATGATTGAATAAAAATGGAATTCACAAACTAAGCTAAATGTTCTTGAGATTAATGATGTTAATATTTTAGTCTGTCAGAATGGGAAAAAATACTACACAAATAAATAGTGTCACAGCACACTTCAAAGCCTCACACTGCCCTATCAAAAATACATTTGTGTGCTGCCAGACAGTTGGAGATGGTTATCCAAATTGGCTTGTAATGATTTGTTCAGAACACCTCATTCCTCACAGGCTTCATCATTACAACTCATCTGCTGTGGTCGAAAAGCACAACTGATTGATGTAAGTGATCTGCATTGTGCTAAGAGACAAGAGGGAGAAACATAGACTCTCGTAATTAAATTTGTATTAAGCTGCAGTAGTTTGGCCCAGTTTGTGCAAAGCCTATGAGACCATGGGCAGATTAACCTCTAACACTGGATTTCAAGCTGTGGTGACTGCTCTGTCTCCACATGTACTGCTCCCGTGAGCCCACTGACAATGAAGGCCATGCGTAATTGATGAGCTCTTTCAATTAACCTAATTGAGCAATGTGAAACCACCAGAAACACTGTTGAATATGAACTGTGTCTGAGTGCGGCTGGAATGAAGGGACACACCCTAATAACGACCACAGCAATTTTGATTATTTTATTTCATTTTTAATTTTTAAATTTTTTGTTAACAGCAGTTTAAATGTATAAATGTAAAAAGCGTATATTTGTGGAGGTGGCACATCACGATTCAAAGAAAATATAAAAGTTAAAACCATACTTTGGGACATTCTGCATGAAGGTGGAAAAGGTTTTTGCCACACTGTAAAGGATAGCTGAAGCAACTATATTTACATAGAAAGAAAAATATTTTATTTATTTTTTTAATAAAATGAAAAAAAAAAAAAAAGTGTAATTGTACTAAATGACATACAAAATACAGGGGGGATGTAAATAAGAACCTAGAAATATCTAATTAATTAAAGAACATTAGTTTATTTAGATACTGATGCATTTTCCAGTTATGATAGTTTATAATATGTTGTGCAACAGTCCTATTATATTAAAAAAAAATATTTTGTGCAAACACATTTAGTCCTCAGTTGTCATGCTTTTCATTTTTATTTTATACATCTCCATCTATTATCCCACAACATGTGACACTTGTAAACAGTTGTAATCCCACTACTGAGCTACCTTGATGTGACATTATATTGTTATGTGTTCTAGTTATTTTCTATAATGAACTCCTATTACTCTAGTCAGCATTGGCACAGACTGAGATATCAGTCCAGTCACACACTCATGCATACAGAGCCCAGGGGTGCTGCTGCTGGAAGTGGATTAATTGCCATATTAATATTGATGAAGGTTGTCTTTTGCTGACCTGTTGTGGCTTCACGCAGCTCTGCAAAACACATGATCTTTTGTTTTTATTTTTCACGCTTGTAGAAACATTGCATACTGTGGTAAAGCAGTTGTGGTCTTGACCTATTTGTATGTCAATTCATGCTGCAATGCAATCACTATATGGTCGTTCATATATGGCAAAGCATAGAGCCATCTGAGTGCTTTATTAAGCCCAGCTGGTAGCTTATTTCTGCTGTCCTTACAAAGTATTTATGCTTCACTGGCACCATCTTAATGTGTTCGACAAGGCCATACAATATAACTTTTGTATTATCATGTTCCTGACATCATATCCACAGAAAGGAGATTTGTGGGCTCACATTATACAAGTTAAACTATTGATACTTGAGCTCTTAATGCTACTGCCTGTCTATGATACATTGAGATGAGATGAGGTTTCACACTGATATTCTCTTCATTAGAACTATAGTTTTTATTCCAGTCTTTCTTAACTTTATACAACTTTATACATTAACATGTACAATTTTAAACAGAAAGAAGTGGTTCAGACTACCTAAGATCACGCTTACCCACTTGGGAGTGACCTCATGTAAGCCTACTGTGTTTTTCAGTCATTTAGCCAGTATTTAAAGACAATTTAAATCTGTCACCTGGACAAAGGTTTTAGAGTCAAGATGTTTCACCACTTCAAGTGGCTTCTTCAGTTCTGATCAGATTGCTAATAGGTGTGAGATCACCCATTAGGGGCCTACACAATTATGCTAAATATGACTCAGGAACAGTTCACACTTAGTGTAGCTAAATAGAACTAACTAACAAACAGAAACTGTAAACAAATAGGCATATTAGTTTCAGTGTAGCTCCTCCCTTCAGACAGATATAAGACAGTGTCCCTCCAGCCATCTGACCAGAACTGAAGAAGCCACTTGGATGAGTGGAAAAATGTCTTTGCTCCAAAACCTTTGTCCAGTTGACAGATTTTAATTTTTCTTTTGCTATTGATTGTACCTGGATAACTGAGGGATTACTCAGACATTTAGTCAATAGTTTACATTTTCTAGTCAAAGGTACCCTAAGACACATTATAAAAGATGTAAAATGTACTAAAAACATTTAATATTTATATATGATTCAATTCTACATTTCTTTTCAATCTGTTTTCTGAAATAATGCCAAGGACCCCCAGATAAGTGCTCATGTACCTCTAGAGGTTTTCCCTGACTGGGAAACACTGTTGTACATCATTTTACACAGTGTTTTAAAACACTGTCTGCGCTTCTTTATCTACAGTTGTTCAGGTCCACCTCATACTGCCACCTCCCACCTCCTGACATGTCCCCAGACCCCAACTCAGATAGGTCTACCTCTGACACATAGAGCGTCTTCATCAACATCTTTGCTCTCTGTTCTGTTTCTGTTTCTGTCTCACCTCTACTGTTATCACCTACCTCCCCTTACACACGGCAACACTCCCCTCCCCCCTAGTTATCCACTGATAACATTTACCAGGACTGTCACTGGATAAAGGTGAATAGAAGGAGCAGGATGGCTTCAGTCACTAGTGTCCCACAGTGCTTCTTTGTTATACTAGAAATACATATTACACTGTACATAGGCTTCTCTTCTGTAAATAACCTGCTTTTGTGATTTAAGGAAATGCACATAAAAGAAATTAAATGTTATAACTGATATAGCTGAATAATTTAAATGATCTTTAGTGCGGGTTGATCTTGTTCTGACCAAGACTCAGTTTAGTCTTGGTCAAATATTGTCCCAGTTTTGGGTACTCTTTCTCAGCCATTATTAATGTCAGTGGTAAAATCAAATTTTATTTATAAAACTTAAACACATTTCTTGCCTTGTTTTTCAGTACAGTATGTTTTTGACTGCGGCCCCGCCCCTGCGCAGAGGTAGCACACCCTTACCTGTCAAACACCAGCTGAGGAGAGAGGAGGCTGTGTCTGAGGACTGTGACTGGATCCCAGGTCTGGAGGAGCCTGCCACGTTGCCTATTACTGAAACAGCGGTGCCTCGGGAGGAGTCATTTGGCCAAACGGCATCTGCCCAGCCAACATACCACAGTCACGGAGGGGCACTGCGGTTAGTGCTGCTGGGACAGAACGGAGTGGGCAAATCATCACTGGCCTTATCTCTGGCAGGACAGTCGGACCGGTCCCTCTCCATAGACTCTGAATCACAGGCATGCGGTAATGGCTCGCACTGGGATGCACTTAAGCTGACAGCACACATCTGGGACAAATTTATGTCATCTTTCATTATTCTGATTTTGATTAAATAGCATACAAATACTTCATTCATAATTCACACACACTTAACTAGAGTAACTTTTTGGGGAGTGGAGCCATCCATTGCTATTAGTAAATATTATTTTAGTCTTAGTAGTATTGACATTTTTCAACTCAATCAACGATCCAAAAAAATAAATGTGAAATGTTTTTCATTCATAAAGTTTGAGTTGATAAAGTTTGTCTCACACTAGTTTTAGAGTTATCTTTTTAGACACGTTGGATAGAAGTAAATTAAGGATTTGGTTGTGTTGTCAATAATCCTGAAAAAAACAAAAAAACAAACAATAAACAAAGCCCATGCAGACAGGAGTGCAAAAATACAAAAAGGCACTTGAAAATTCACATGAAATCTTGAGAGGAGCAAAGCAGTTGAAAAGAACATTTTTGAATCCATCTGCATATTACACTTTACCTTGAATACATACTCTATACATTCATAAAATATACATTACTTCTGCCTATACATGGCATCATAATGTTTTCATTGCTTTCATTGAGTCAAGGCTCCATGCTTTATTTAACAATGTGCTGCTCTATTCTGGGATACACAGTGTGAGCGAATGTAGGGGAATGCTCTGTGACACCTTTTTCTATTATCACCTCTATATCAATTCTAGGCAGCTCAGAACATCTGTTTTAGAGCCACATCAGACACATGGGCGAAACAACCGACACCTGCTACCAGCAAAAATGAGCTTTCACGTTTAAAGTGAAGTGAAACCAGCACAGATGTAGTCTTTCTATCATAAGCCCTCCTAAATGAGTTTCCTGTCTTGCGTAGCTTTTAACAAGTTCACATTTTCCCCAAATATTGCGCATATTTGATCTTGATTAGCTAATTTATTTTAGTAGGATTGCTTTTGTCAGAAAATATTCCGAAAAATCTCATCAGGAGGCAGAACTCATCATCACAGTTTCAAGTTGTTATTCCTCTAGGCAGTTTTCTCAAGGACTATCAGGCTTTTTATCACAGGACTGTAGTAAATTGTAGTGCCACATATGAATTCACATTACTGTCTGTGACCGTCATGGTGTCAAAACGATAACATTATTTTGATGTGTGTCATGGATGTTTGCAGGTGAAGGCTACGAGTGCTCGGTTACAGTGGATGATGAGGACAGCAAACTCATTGTATATGACAACTGGAAACAGGTGAGAAACTCCCCTAATTTTAGAATTTAAAGGTAAACTATGTAACTTTACTGGTAGAGGATCTGTCACCTGTTTGTCTAAATAGAGATGTGTACCATAAATTCCGAACTATAAGCCACTACTTTTTTCTCACACTTTAAACCCTGCGGCTAATAAAAGGATGCGGCTAATATATGGACGGATTCTTTGTCCATTTATGTATATGGTCTATGGTTTCGTAACACAGCGGATACTCGCAGCCTGAATGCAGAAAACGCCGCTGCCTGTGTGGGTAACATTTGGATCTAGGGTTAACATGAAGTTGCTACACTAGTTAGCGATATTGTCAGTGCTCTCAAATAGTTTATCACCGTGTGATAAAATAAGTTATGATGCTAAATTAACATTAGTGAGGGGAATATGTCTTACCTGTATGCCTGTATGTATGATGAGAAGAAATGTCTCAGACTTCAGACATCCACTCATACCTGATTGATAGAACTAGCCCTACCCCCAAGAGCCTGAAATCTGCTGAAATCCTCCAAGACACTGACATGATACAGACAGGACAGCAGCTCTTTCTGCAGGAGATATGCGCCTTAGAGCGCGGGGAGGGACGGGAGTGATGTGCTGAGGAAGATGCTCATTTGATTGTGTTTTGAACAGTTATTTTGCGCTTCATACACACACCCTCCTCATGGAAAACACACAAAGAAATGCAGATGATGGAGCTTTTTAGTTAACAGCAATTGATGTGGCTGTGGAAGAAGGAAACAGAGCTGCTACACATGAGCTCGACATCAGTGAGTCGATGGTGAGATTTTGGCATTAGCAGCGTGACAAACTCACTCAATGCAAAAAAGACGACAGAAACTTTCAGAGGCGATAAAAGCAGATTGCCCGAACTTGAAAACTTTCTTGAAGACGTGGACACCTGTGGGCTTATATTCAGGTGTGGCCTGTATATGTACAATTTTAAAATTTTGTTAAAATTTAGTTGATGGGGCTTATATTCAGGTGTGCTCAGTAGTCCAGAAAATACGGTATATATTTCTTGTTTTGCATTTATTCAGTTACAGGTGTTTTTATTCCTTAAAATACCTTGAAAAATGTATTCTTACTGTGCACAGGGTCGATTTTTCTCACCTGTAACTTGGCGTGCTTGTCCAGTTGGAGTTGTTAATGCCTTACTGTGGGACACGTTAGACAAGCAAATAACATCTCCATGGAGACAGGCAGGTATCAGACCCTTAACCAGTAAAATTACTAGAGCCCGACCGATATGGATTTTGTTGTGGCCGATATGATACCGATATAATGATAGTTGGAGCTGCAGATAGCCGATATAATCACCGATATATTTAGTGATGTAAAAATTCACTGTAAATCTTGAATTATTTAAAAAAAACTTAGGTTTGGCTCTTGTGGATTTTAAACTGGGTTTATTTAGGCAACATTTATTGTTATTCTGCCTCTTTACATGAAATGTCATAGGACTAAAGCAGGTCTAAGGCAGGTCTAAAGCAGGACTAAACCAGAACTGAACCAGCACTGAAAAAGCACTAAACCAGGACTATAACAGATCTAAACTATGTGCAAAACAGAACTAAACCAGAATTTAACCAGGACTGAGTGTCGGGACTCGGTCTCTATCTCTCTCCCTCTCTCGACCCCAAGATTAGTCCTGGTTTATTTATTTTATGCTGAATATATTTTTGCAAGTTTTTTTTTACACTATGCACACGCAGAGTTTTGAAGGTTTCGTTTTTAGCCGCTGCCGCTGTCAAACTACCACGAGTCTGCACGCGGCATGAAGAGAAAAAAGTGAGAGAAAGAGAAAACACGGCTCCCAATAAGGATCAGGCTCCCGTCGTTCGCTTCAAAGAGCCGGATCTAAGAGCCGCTTCGTTCGCGAACGACCCATCACTGCTAGCGAGTAAATAAACAATCGCTATTAGCCTTTAGCCGTAAATGCTGCGTGCCGCGGTAATGAATAATATGCGCAAATTTCATCATTCACACGTCTATTCACATCTCATTTACATATCAATGCAGGTACAGTAACAAATATATGGCCAATATAGTCACTTTACAATAGACCAATAGAAAACGGCCTATTTATGTGTGGGAGCTACAGCAGCTAACCGCTAACCAAAAACTTGCTTCAAAGTCGACATATTTCCAACACTCACCGCTCACACAGGCTTCTCCTCACATCACAAGTCTGCACTAATAAATGTCCTTTTAATCCAGACTCAAACCGATTGTCCGTAAAAAGAAAATAATCCCAGTGTTTGGATCTGTGTCTGCGGATGTAAACAAACGCACGTGACTCTCACACAGACAAATGACTCCGCAGATAAATACTGATGCGGAGCTACATATTTGGACATTTATCTGACTGTAAATTGGATTAAATGAACATAATGTAGAGAGTCTAAGCTTTATAACGACGTATAACATGCCCACGTGAAATATCGGCCCCTATCAGCAAGTATATCGGCCGATAGCCGATATGCTTCCAGGTGCTCAATTCGGCCGATAATATCGGCCAACCGATATATCGGTCCTGCTCTAAAAATTACACAGTGCACCTTTAAACCAACAATAGTCATTTATTTAAGCCTCTGTTAAACTTTATTATGATGTTTTCTGTGACCTGGGCAGATGAGGTTTAGAAGCTTTCACTGTCCTTTTCACTGCTTTTGATGATGTCAAGCAAATATTAGACTTTTGTGCCATTTCACTTTTGCTAATTCTTAAAGGGTTCTTATCAGTGAGCCATGAAAATGTGTTTCTATGGGCCTTAATAGAACTCTCCCTGGACATTGGTTGCCATCCTTATTCCATCAGTTTGACTCTTTGGTTGGTCGTAAAAAGCCAGAGAAATTTACAAAGGAAATAAAGGACAGACTCCACTTTGAAATGATATTGACTGTGAACCCACAAACTCTTTTTAGAGAAGCTGATAAAAACTCAAAAAACTTTACCCATAATTGGCTTTAGAGGAAAGATTGCATAGGCCTTCACAGTAGTATCAGTAGTAAGGAAGAAAGCAGCAGATGTCCTTACTACGATGCGTGCTTGTGTTCTTTTATTAAACATAGTGGCTAACCTTCTTGTGTTACTCCTTTCATGTTTCAAATCAGTAATGAAAAGAGAATTCCCAGCGAGGCCCAAAATTGCGGGTGTTATGCATCATCGTTCCTTTGAGCTGAATGAGGATGAGTTAATACACCAATGGGAGTCATTTTTGTTACATTCTTCAGCAAGTAGTGAACTGGAAGATCTCATACTCAACCCCATACCGTGGCATTGTGAGTCTTTCAAAATCAGATGAAATTCTGTGCACAGCTATCTTAATTAGTGTGAAGGGTAACCATTTCCTTTCACTTGCTATCCCAGATGTCCACTCCTCTACAGACCCTGCCCTATGAGATTAAATTATTCACACAGTTCTATGTAGCTTAAGGGAAATGCATCCGAAAGCCTGGTCCTTGACTTTTTGTGTACACTCTTTTCCAATTCACTGCCCGTCTGTCGGTCAGCTCTCCTCTCACAGCCACGTCTGTTCATTTGCTGCTGTCTCTTTCATGCGCCTCTGTTCGTTGACCCCTTTTTGCCACTGTTAAATCGCACTCCGGGTTAATTACATTTGTTATTCTGTGCATGCTAATACAAAGCTAATGGACGTACAAGCAACACTCACAGGCCAGCAGGAGGATTGGATACGCTGCATAACTGCATGTGCTTGGAAGGGAATATTAGGGGTGGGCCACAGACCCAGAGACAACAATAAAGATGGCTTTCAGTATTAATTTCCTGAACATAAAAGAGATTTAACAGAAAAAAGTCAAATTATGTGATCTAGAAGTCTGAACTCCAAACCACACGCTTCTCCTGAAAGAGGATTTTTGATAGTGATTAAAATTTGATGAATTGCTCTTCTCTAATCTGATGTTTTTTCCTTGGTGCTAATGCCTCGAGATAATGGATGTTAATGAGTCAAGAACATTATGAACTCTCATCTATTTATTTTACTATCTCCACACATGCGTCACCACTAACCACTCTAAGAGCACTCCTGATGTTTTGTTTTGATGTTTTGACCTAGCAGTCTGGAAATTTAGCTATTTTTGGCCATGGTGTCAATAATCAAGAATGATTTTGTGATGTTTTTGCTCACAATAATTTCAAAACTATAATTTATGTTGTGACATCACCTCCATCTTCTCCACCATTTTGACCTTTCACTTTAGGGATGAAACATTCACTTTTGACCTAATATACACCACCCAACAGGTTGAAGAGAAAATCTGTCATCTTGTCACCTGTCAGTAGTCTTTAACTTCTGCAGTTGTGTGGTCTGTAGAATCAATCTTAGTCTTGAGCTGAGAGCACATTTCTTGCCAGTCCCTTTGGTCCCTGGGGGAGGTAGGGGCTTCTGGCCATGGAGCTAGCTGTAAGTATTCTCTACGGGGCACCCTAACCTACTCCCCACGTTACCATAGCAACCTGTGTCGACATCCACGTACACACTGTCACACAGGACGACGTAATCAGTCACTCACAAATACTGCTGGCATCCTCCCTGTGTTCACTATGTGCTCTATCTATCCATCTAGAGCCTCATCAGATCTTTGGAATGGAAGCTGCTGCAACACATTATGAGGCGCTATCATTTGTGCACACACTGTTAAACTCAATTATGGCTGGTCATAGTTTGTTAATCGCACCTGGTTAGCCAAATATTTCAGCCTGTTATTTCTACTTTTAGTGCCAGTGTCTGCACCCAAAACAAAAACTGATACTTTGAACAAAATAGCATTTGAACTAGCGATAGGACAAGATAATAGTGCTATTATCAATTTTGTCTAGTGAGACTAAATAGTTAAAATGTAAACATATGGCTAAAGAGGTAGCCATATGTTTACAATATCATCCAAAATACAAAGTATACTTACCCCAGATAATTCACCAGCATCCAGCTACACCAACACCTTCACGCTCATTTACATTTC